AAACATTGTATATTACATTTAATACAAAAACAAAAACAAAAAAACAACAACGCTGAAATGGTCAATTTTAGCTTCTCTGTGTTGGAGTGCTACAATTATGCAAGGGAATCTTGACAACTCAGTCATCCATCTTAATTTATGTGATTATCCGGGTCTCTTTGATCAGTATAATATATGTTTGCAGTACTTTTTTGAATAAAATAGAAATGTACATTGTGTGTACATTGTAGTAATTTTTAAGTTATTTCCATTCCCAAACACACGTACACCGAGTGCCTCGGGAATGTATTTTTTCCATAATATAACTAGTAATGTACACACAACTCCTAAAACATTTTACTAGTTACTATTCACGATTATTGTTTTATATATCGTAAACATTCATATACAACATATTTACAAGGTAATAAAGAACTTGAAGAATATGTTTATCCATATATTTCTATAAATCTTATATCCATACATTTATACCTCATGTATACATGAAATTATATGATAAAACCCAGTTATTCTTATTCGCATACATAAAATATGTACATGTAAATATATATTCTGTATAATTATGTTTAGTAAATCTATTTATGCATATGTATTCATTACTGTTTTTCATTATACTCGTTATTGCACGTTAACGTTTACAGTGATTAAATTATCAAGCAAAATAGGAAAGAAATAAGGAGATATATTTTCTCTTTTCAACACACATGATTGGGTGGATGAGGGTTTTACATGATTTACATGATATTATACTGATCTGACTATAATTTTTTCATTAATCTTGGTTTCAAGACTCAAGCTATATGTGCCTGCATGACTTGCTACACTGGTAGAGTACATGTAACTCAGTGACTGTCAGATCTCGCAGCATCCTCAGTAACGAGGGATGGGATCACTTGCAACAGATGAGAAAGGTTTTTAATCAGAACTTTGTCGGCGGTCGTTGAGGTCTTTACAAAGATTCGTCCGGCTGTGGTCCAGTTGGTGTCGATGACTTTACTCCATTTGACCCTTCCTAGTAGCTTGACTATAGACTGACGGGTCTGTGTGAGGTCTTCAGTGAGAAAGAGTTTTTCCCGGTCGTGCTTAAGATTCCGTTTGTTTTTGAAAACTTCATTTTTAACGTTCCAGCTGCGGAATCTGCATATAATTTGATATTTACCATCACGGTTTTCACGTCCAATAACATGTGATCTGTATATATCGTCTTTCCCAATGTTCACTTTGAGCTTGGATCGACATATGTCTATGATTTTTGGGTCGGTGAACCTCTTCTCATCCGCGTTTAAGGGCACATTGTGAAAACGGAGTGTATTACGTCTACCATATTGTTCCAACTGCTCTATTTTGTCATCAAGTAAGCTAGCTTTATTATCAAGGGAAACACTCAACCTACCCAGTTCCGCCTCAAGTGTGACACATTTTTCGCTAAGGAAATCATTTGAAGATTTCAGATGGGTGATAACANGTACGAATGCCTCAGCCCACACAGGCGCTATTGATTTTCCAAGATCAGGATTCGCTAGTGATGATCTGATAATCGTGTTCATATCAATGACTTAACCTTTCCCAATGTCAATTCGATGGTACGAGCCCGATAATGGTGTCGGGTTAGACAGTGAGTTCACACGGACGTGACCTCTGCTGTGCCGGGGGTGATCAGGGGCATCAGGAGAGCCTTCAAATTTCCTTTTATTTGCGTGTTCAGAATTTGATTCAGACATATTCGTAAGATTTGATAAGGAGTATTCAAAAGTCAAACAAGCAATTCCTTGTAGACGACCTTTCTAGAGTCCGTGCAGAAATGGCGGTCAGCGAGATTTAGCGAGTCGTAACATTAAATGTATGTATCATCTATTATCACAGTATATACGGGGGTAACAGTGTAAAGTATAATTCGATATGGATCTCAAAGATGTGTATTGCTCATAATAATTAGTTACCCACCGTTATATTTACATTCACATGGATACACAAACAAATTTATGTTCTATAGTTTCGATTTCTGTGTTACACATATTACAAAGGTTATTGCTCAAAATACCAATAGTTTTCAAGTAATTATTTAGTGGGAGAATGCGATTTTGTAACCGATACTGGAACCACTGTAGTGTTGTGTACGTTGTACTTTTAAAAGGAATGCTATACAATCGTTTCCAGTCTATGTTTCTAAAACTTTCTTTTGATTTCCATTTTATTTCAGCTGTATTCGCACATTTATTTTTATTATTTAGGGTAATATACATGTCTTTAAAACCTTTCTTGCTTTTCATAATCACATTGATATGGTGTGGTATAAATGGTCTTTCAACAATGCTTTCAGCAGTTAAATTGTCTATATTTTTGCTTAATTGATTGGCATATACATATGTACTTTGATAAATAAAGAAGTTTTCTGAATCGATATTGAATTTTAGTTTTAAGTTTGCAAAGGTTAGAAAAGAATTATCTTGGTCCAGTAGGTCACACACATTTTAAACACCCTTCTCAAACCATTTTTTAGTGAAAAAAGACCTGTTATCAATGCAGAAAATTGGGTTATACCATATAGGAAAAGTAAGAAACTGCTCAATATTTTTAATTTGCATTTGTGTTTTTTCTGAAATATCTACCCATGCCTGAAAAACATTTTTCCAGAACGCATTTTTGGTCTTAAACATTTATCATTATTCTTAAGTAATCTTCTTATCCATGTAGACTTAAGGCTTGTTATAAAATTCCCGATACTAATCATTTTCAGACCCCTATTTTCATAGCTATGGACTATAATGTCCCTTTTAAGTTTGTCGACTGGTGATTGCCAACTAAAATTGAAAAAAGTAGTGTTAAACTGTTGGATAAAATTATTGTCGGGTGTAGGAACAGATATGAATAGATGATTAAATTTTGGTATAATGATTGATTTTAATACAACTATCCGACGAAGAGGTGTTAAAATTCTGCGTGACCACTGGTTTATAATTCTATTATCTTTTTTAAGAACTGTGGTATAATTCAAAGTTACAACCTCATCTAGATTAACTGAAAAATAAACCCCTAGCATATTAAATTTTGTTTCTCCCCATTTCAGTTTCCATCTATGTGTTTCTAGATCCATCTAAAATTATTGAGGTATCATCTGCAAACTGTGAGAGCTTATGATCTTTCTGTTGGATTGTAATGGCCTTGATTTTTTTTGATTTTTTTTTATAAGAATAGCCAATATTTCAACTACAAGGAAAAATAGATATGGGGAGACAGAATCCCCTTGTCGACAACCCCTTTGTAAATCAAAAAAAAAAATGACAGTATACAATTTTGGCTTATTGCAGAGTAGGTATTTTTGTAGGTGTTTTTAGCCATTTTTCAATGCTTTCGCCAAAATTAAAAAAATCAACTACTTTGTTTTAAAAATTCCATGAAACTAAATCAAAGGCTTTTTCGAAATCTATCAATACTAAAAGTCCTGGTATGTTGTTTATTTCAGTAAAATTCATAATGTCGTAAATAGGTCTGGTGTTTTCCCAAATATATCTTCCACTTAAAAAACCTGTTTGTGTGTCTGAAATAATAAAATCAAGAACTGTTTTTAGTCTGTTGGCTATACAAGCTGAAGCAAATTTATATATAACATTTAATTAAGTAATCGGCCTCCAATATTTAATAAAATGTCTAACTTTATCTCCTTTTGGAAAACAGGTGATAATACCCTGTCTTTGTGTAATGGATAGCTCCCCGAGTTAATATCTTGACATTTCTTTTCCAATTTCGAGTTACTTTCTTGAAATGTCGTGCAATTAAGTCGAAATTCCGAGAAGCTGGTACGAAAAACACGAAAAAACACATTTATGCTGGTTTTTTTCTATAATACCCTAATGCTCTTCCGTAAGAAACGGTTATTGAGATGAAGTTGGAGCTGTTGCCTAGAAGTGGTTAATTGTATTTCTTTCAAACCATCTGAAAATATCAATTTTGGATAGTTTTCCAAGTAGCTGTCTGCAATTTAAGTCACTGATTATTGTTGAGCATTGGAATGCAAGACTGAAGTGGCTACTCCCGTATCCAAAAAAACATGTAATGGTTTCTTGCATGGCTGTTCAGTTAGGACAGAGAAAATCTCTGACTTGTTAATGATTTTAATTCAAATGAATGTTATCTTGGCTGATATATTGATATTATAGTATTTCAGGTATCGTGCCAGATTAAGTTCTAGCTGCCAAATTGCGGTCAAACTGCAGGAACTGATAATCAGAGACAACCAGTTTGTGACGTAAATTTAGCACTCTGTATAAGTACGTCGATTTCGGAAGCCAACAATAAAACATCTTTGCTGCACCATATGACCATTTGAACAGTGGAACTTAGGGTCAAAAGATGAAAATTCATGTCAAAACTTTTCCCGAAACATTATCCTAAGTAGACCGAGATGTTATGTCAGAAATTAACCGAATTATTTAACAATTGTAAAATGGGTTTTTGGTACTGATAAAAAATATTTTGCGGTTTTGTATTCAGTACATATTCGCGGGGTCCAGTTTCGCTGTACACCCGAATCCCATGTGTCGTGCAAAGTGTTTTGAGTGTCATCATTTAACGGTTAATCTTGGAAATACAGGTAAACCGTTTGAAAACACTGATCCCGAGTGTCGTTATCCGCTAGTGACTTCACTCGAAAGAAAATCAATTGTGTATGTACCTTTGTAGGAGTAAACTGTAACCAATTAATCACCTACTGTGTACACATACCTATGTTGTGGCCACTTGTATGAAAGTGTTCTTTTTACATGGACTGTCCAGTTTTCCGGTGATGATCTGATTTGAGTTCATTTAGACTTGCATAACAACGTCGGGTTATAAGTATTTTCAATATGTTGTGATAACGTCCGTAAAGGTGGTTAACATTTTCGATAATTTCGCTGGTGTTAAGAATTCGGGAATATTAGTCATTTGTGATGATGTGATGTTACGAGCTAGTTAGTCGGAAGCTAATAAAATAAAACATTGCAAACAAAATCAAAGTTGATTTAATTCATATATATATATACTATTTGTAAGTTAGTACATAGTAGTTGTGGAGTTAGTCATATAAGTTTTCAAGAATCATTCGCTCTGTTTCATTCACACTGTTCTGTTCATAGATATCCCCATACACAATTCATAACACATAATGCTATATACACATTCCAAGTAGTTAAGTCATCTATAACATATCGTTGACCATTACATAATCACTTAATTGCGACTTACGTACTAAAATTAAATGAAACCACGTATTTCAAATATCTAATAAATATTCATTTGTGACTTGATGGGAAACAGACATGTTTTCAGTATAAATAACTGGGAAAATGATGCATGCTTCAGTCAATGATAACATTCACATATCAGGCTTAAAGTTAAAACAATGTTTTGTAATACAGTATTATGGTACATGTATACTCGGTTCAATGTTGTTAATAAAAAAAAATTAGCATCACTTGAACAGTTTGTTTAGTCATCGGCACTTGTTGGTAACGTAATATATTTGCCACTCTACCGGTAACTGCCACACCCGTATTACTGTAAAGGAATAAACACAAATCAACTAGACCAAGTTACACTTTTCACTGGTGGTTACAATCCTAGCAGTTCTAGTATCTCTTTTTTCCATAACAAACTCTTCGGCACATACGTTCCTATTCCCCGGTGCTGTGAATAAAAACACTTTTTGTCTCATTCAACTAGGAGAAAATAGAGTCATTTTCTGTCACGAAGTCAGTACAAATATTCGAGAAACAATATCAAGTTCCATGATTTTTTTCTGGTTATCAGCGGGATGCAGTGACTACTCTAATGCTTTGATTTGTCTTATTCTGTAAGCCAAGGAAACATTAGCGACAGCTTTGAACGCCATTGGTGAGGGTACAGTTTTATCGGGTAGGGCTCGTTTTGTAATATCCTATCTCGACGCTGTTGTATGGTTCGATAAAATGATACAACCAAATGTGATTGCATCGTGGTCTGCTTCAGTAGAACCCGTCTTTTCCTACTAACGTTTGTAGAGTGGATTTGTTAAAATGTTTCAATATTACAACGAGGCGTTGTTGTCCTGTTGTCGTTTGTATAGTAGATTTGGTACATTTTTTCAGAAGAACAAAGAGGTGTTGTTGTCCTTTTGTCCTTTGTATAGTAGATTTGTTACAATGTTTCAGTAGAACAGAGAGTTATTGTTGTCCTCTTGTCCTTTGTATAGTAGATTTGTTACACTGTTTCAGTAGAACAGAGAGGCGTTGTTGTCCTGTTGTCGTTTGTATAGTAGATTTGTTACACTGTTTCAGTAGAACAGAGAGGTTTTGTTGTCCTCTTGTCCTTTGTAAAGTAGATTTGTTACAATGTTTCAGTAGAACAGAGAGGTATTGTTGTCCCCTTGTCCTTTGTAAAGTAGATTTGTTACACTGTTTCAGTAGAACAGAGAGGCGTTATTGTCCTGTTGTCGTTTGTATAGTAGATTTGTTACAATGTTTCAGTAGAACAGAAAGGTATTGTTGTCCTCTTGTCCTTTGTATAGTAGATTTGTTACAATGTTTCAGCAAAACAGAGAGGCGTTGTTGTCCTCTTGTCGTTTGTATTGTAGATTTGTGACAATGTTTCAGTAGAACAGAGAGGCGTTGTTGTCCTGTTGTCCTTTGTATAGTAGATTTGTCAAATGTTTCAGTAGAACAGAGAGGCGTTGTTGTCCTGTTGTCGTTTGTATAGTAGATTTATTACAATGTTGTCAGTAGAACAGAGAGGTATTGTTGTCCTCTTGACGTTTGTATAGTAGATTTGTTACAATGTTGTCAGTAGAACAGAGAGGCGTTGTTGTCCTCTTGACGTTTGTATAGTAGATTTGTTACAATGTTTCAGTAGAACAGAGAGGCGTTGTTGTCCTCTTGACCTTTGCATAGTAGATTTGTCAAATGTTTAAGTAGAACAGAGAGGCGTTGTTGTCCTTTTGACGTTTGTATAGTAGATGTGTTACAATGTTGTCCTCTTGTCGTTTGTATAGTAGATTTGTCAAATGTGTCCTGTTGTCGTTTGTATAGTAGATTTGTTACACTGTTTCAGTAGAACAGAGCGATGTTGTTGTCCTCTTGTCGTTTGTATAGTTGATTTGTCAAATGTTTCAGTAGAACAGAGAGGTGCTGTTGTCCTCTTGTCGTTTGTATAGTAGATTTGTTACAATGTTTTAGTAGAACGGAGATGCGTTGTTGTCCTCTTGACGTTTGTATAGTAGGTGAGTAACAACAGTTAAGGCCTTGTATGCTTCCCAATTGGTTTTGTCCTGTAACTTCTGCTGTAAACTTTCCTCGGTAGGAATCGGTTGTAACTAGAACAAGAAGAACAATATTTTAGCATGTTTTCAAATTATTTTAAATAATATTTTAATTTTAATCTTGTAGTTCAAATAGTCGAAGGAACAACGATAAAAAAGGACAATTTGCTACATATTTAACTTAGTCATATACATGTTCAGTTGGGAGCAAACTTAACTTGGTAGCCTAGTGCACTAGAGTTAACAAGAAAGGTGAACTCCAGTTCACCAGCTTGAGCACTGGAATAACACTGAAGTGAACTGGAGTTCACATTGATGTGCACTGGAGTTCACATCAATGTACACTGTAGTTAAATACAGTACACAATGTAATGTTATTTATCATATTATGTCTGACTTTTTCATCAGTTTATACATACTACGATTTTCTGCCCTCCCGTCTGCTCAATAGATAAATAAAATATTAGATGTTACCTATTCATATAATTAAAATGATTTAAGCAGATATTAATCGGTAGGTAGAGATCATGAAAACTAGGGACCGCCGACATTTTCTAATTGAGAATTTTTAACACCTGAACACAACATAATTCGGCAAACGGAGATGAATATTTCGAATTCCGTGAAATAGTTCAAAGAATGACTTCTCGCTTTTAATGACGTTTGGATGTTAAACTTTTAAAATTATTCCAAATTTTTGAAACTAATGTCGTTTTAATTCTATATCAACACTGAAACACGTCGACATATTGCGATCAGAGTTCACATGTCATGCTACTTTAAAATGCTGCAAAAGAAAACACACGAAGTACTTAACGTAAAGCTTCATAGTGTTACATGTACATATGACGAGTCTACAAAATGTGGCAGTCGATTAACGGCAAAGTTTGCATACGGCTGTTTCTTTCAAGAATCCTTGATATGAAGTTCCATAGGAATGGAGGCGCTCTAAGGGCGATGACTCGTCTAGGCTTATTACAGAAGACTAAATAACTACATTGTGAAATTCAAAATCGAACCCTAGATTTCAGAATATTGTACAGTAGCTCTAACCGAATGGTCAACGGAAATGTGTTATTGTCCCGCTGTGCTACAATTATATCCAAAACGAAATTGAGGGAAGATAACTGCAAATAGAGAACTGCAAGTAGTGAAACAAGAATCCGCAAGTGGACACAGTAGTACTGTATAGGTTGTAGCTAGGAAGCATAGTTTGTCAGCGATGGTGTATAGGATGATCATATCCGCCCCCAAACTTACTGTGTGTCGTATTCGTTTGGCTTCTTCGTCTGTAAGATATTGTTTGAAAAATTTCCGGTTGATGAGGATACACTCCGCTCCTTCCGATACCAATATCGTGCTGGTGGTTTTACCTATCATTCCAAAGGCAACCTGTTCCAGGCCCTTAATGATATGAAACATTTAGAAAAGATGTTATGACAAGCAACATACAATTGACATCCATATAAGGTGTTTTAATATATCGATTATTACAGCCAATGTATTTAACAGGTTAGAGGCCATAAAGTGGCGATAAAAAAAAACATCTTTGAGAAAAGTGAAAACAAAGCTGCCATTTCTGCTTATCCAGGCCATATAATATGTCCATTTCCCCCCTTATTTGGCACAAACGTGATGTCGTGAACAAGTTGTATAATTTTGTACAAATGCTAAGTTTGTAGTGATGAGTTCAATCAAATATCTGCATCAACTGTATGGGAGTCATACCTGAATCGCAATAGCAAAGGCGTTGAGTAAAAACCCACATGAAAATATAACGGATTAATTGTCATTGATTTGGAAAAAAAACAACAGATTGTCTCTGGAGCTGACAAGCTGTTAAACGTATATCAATACTTACGTACGTCTCCTTCGGCCCCAGCTTCTGTATCTGTACGAAGACTGTATCCTGCTGTTTGTTGAGTTCAGAACTGCTTGGAATGCTTTCAAGGTCTTTGTGGGTCGGTAAACGTTCCTCAATGAAAGAAGAGATAAACTATGACTGACACCAACAATGAGTATTTTAATGATAATGACTTAACTCAATATTCCGTTCGTTACTGTAATTAGTCAATTTTTCACTCGAATAAAACTAGTATTGATAGAAAACGAAAACCTCATGACATCATTGCTCTTGACACGTGTTTAACACAATATATATGATATTATAGGCTATTCACCGTCAGCTCAATGTATCGCTAAGGTTATTACAAAATCTTTTTAAAGCAAAGCATACTCACTTTTCCTCTTCTAGATGTATTTGCGTGTGTTCTCTCAAACACTTTATCGATTCGACGCTTATGATCAGCTGAAGAGAGACGCTCTGTTATAGAGAAATCGAGAACATAATATGTTAATCACTATTTTGTTTGACATCCAAGTTTATTGGTTTGACATTATCGTATCATATTGGTTTTCAATTCAATGCATGAACAAGAATTGCACAGGACTGGATGTGTCGCCTGCTCAGAGCTTTTAGTGAGAAAGGTGTTTTGGCTTGTGTTATCTCGTAAACTAGCAGAAATCAACGGCAAAAACGAGGAGCAGCGTTGCTATGTCAAGTGTAATATGCCAAAATGCGGAAAGTTGAAACTCGACAGAAACACCTGTAATATATGTTGAACATTATTGCTTCTTGAATTACTGTAAAAAGTTTGAAATTAATTGATTAAAAGATAAAAACAGTTCTTGCATTCGCTACACAATGCCCTTATTTAAGATAAAAGGGGCATAACTCCAACAAAAAAGCATATGCAAACTCGTCCGAGCTATATTGGTATCTATTCGGGAACCGTAGGCACTTTCCGTAAACGAGAAAATATATTTAAATGTATTTTATCGTTTACGGAAAGTGCCGACGGTTTCCGATTGATTGGTATACAATATGTGTACCAAGTTTGAGTTCAATCAACTAAAGGGAACTCAAGTTATCGCACGGAAACCTTGTTTCGGACGACGCACCCGACGACGACGACGCAGGGCGAAATAAACAATTGTCATTTAATAAAAAAAATAAACGTTTTAGATCAGGGTACCTTCTTTTGATTGCTTGGAGAAAAGATTCGCCATTGTTTCTGTTGTGCACTTCCGGAACTTCTTTGGTATATGTCCGTCATTCGAGGAGATCCTAGGGGAGCGAGGGGAACCCCAGTCGATAGATGAAGAAAGGGATGTTGATGATGACGACACAGATTGTGAATGCGTGATGGGAGGTAACTCTGTTTATAAAATAATGACACTCCAGTTAAGTAATTTAATGTTAATAGTTAATTCTGTACAAAATAATGACAACCCTGCTTTGGGGAATTTTGCACACACTAAAGGCACTTCTATTTAGTCAAATAACATTAATTATCATGGTATGGATTTCTCTGTTATCAGTTTATACGCATAGCCATTCAATGAAATTATATTTTTAATATTACAAACAATGTGTGTGTACACTGCAGTCAGTATTCACATTTTCACTCACTTAATGGTTTCTGATTTTTCTTAGGATTGGGTTCTAGTCCAGGAATATTTGGTCGAGTGGTTTGAAGTGCCTTCAAAACCCGACAGGTGCCTGTTTTGATTACGTAAACCCATTCTGACGTATTGCTGTCTTTGCAAAGGAGAAGCCCGCGTCTGTCACAACAGAAATAAACAATTATGTTTAAATCGCATGACGTACACACTACAAAAGTAAAACAGTTTTATTGTTAAGACGATTAAAATATTATAGTTGGTATCGATTTCGGAAGAAATTTTTTTGATAAAATCAATGTTTCTAGATCGTCTTAAGCTTAGACAAATATACATGATATGCGTTTTTGCTTCCCACAGAGATACCTGTATGTAATGTAGCTGACTCACTATAAAACCTTTAGGCGTGACGACGGATTTGAATTTGACTACGCTGGACAATATTGTTTGATGAAATGTAATCCTCGATATGTTTCAGGTACTTAACGTCAAAGTTAGCTGCTGTAATCGTTTCATCTAACAAAAACGGAGTTATTCGGTTAGTATAAGCAGTTAATGGTGTATCATAAGTTTGTTTCCTGGATTCACACTTTTGCTAAATATAGAACTCAAACGAGCTTTGTTGCCTCATTTTCTATCAGCATGGTTTGTAACATAAAAGACACAAAACATAATCACATTGAATAGTGTTAAAAACGTGTTTGTATGTCGCATTTATCAGGAAATGTTGCACTACCTGCCAACAAACTGTATTGACAGACACGTACATGTATATCTGTCATTCACAAAACACTTTACCGGAAATACGTGAAGCAGCATATTTTTGGGTCGTGGTATGGAAGCCTGACGATCGGCCAGCCCCTCAGTAAGATGACAGAACGCAGGAATCGAATGTGTTCTGGCTCTTGGTCCTTTTCCACAGGCATGAATATATCGATAAAATCGTCCCTGCCCACCGCTAGCAGCTCCACGCTGTTTTTACACGTCACAGTTGCGCTCCTCTTGGCGCCGTGCATTAACGCTAATTCCTGTAAACAGACAACGCTAAATTTATATAAATATGTCTATATAATTGCAACTTTTACGTTCACCATTCCAATTAGCACAGTATTGACAGGACTTAAGAGCTAATTTCAATACTGCAATAATGTTACCTGTTATTATTGTATATTATGATAACTTTGCATTCATGCATTTTCATTATTCAACGTAAATTCCGCATAACCAAACATGGTTTGGTTTGTTTATATTGTCTTCGTCCTATTAACAGCTATGGTCTTCACGGACGTGCCAGGTTTTAGTGGTGGAGGGAAGCCGGAGTTCCCAGAGAAAAAACAACGACCTACGGCCAGTACATGGCGACTGCCCAACGTAGGCCTCGAACCCTCGACCCAGTGGTGGAGGGCTAGTGGTAGCAGAATGTCAGACGCCTTAACCACTTGGCAACCGCGGCCCCATAACCGCTCATTGCTACCGAAAACATATGATGAATGGTACAGTATATGTAGTTTCTAAATAACCGTCCCACTGCACTGTGGGTTTTCCTATATACAGTAATCTCCCCTTTACTTCCATTTGAATATAATTGTAGCACAGTTGGACCAGGATAATTGCGCTGACCATGTACATTGTAGCTCAGTCTGTTAGAGCAACGTTGTTACAATCTGTAGTTCAGAGTGCAAATTATGATTTAGCCCCGCTGAGGGTTTTTTTTACGCTCAGAACGAACACAGTCGTTGATTATATTTTGTTTATTGCATCCTTAATTTTTCTCACAGAGATTCATCGAGGTATAGATTTCTTTCAGAAATGATATATCAAAGCTATGTACATGATAGATAAAACAGTTATCTAGTTACATTATAAGTACTACGTGAATTCTTAAGTCTCAATACAGTCTACTGGTACAGCGACAACATTGCATTAGTGTTATAACCTATACGACAACAGAGATGTACGTCACATGTGATATGATATAGCGGAAATTAATTGTTTATGGGTGGAGGGCATGGATGAAGTGCCCACCTTCATTAAAAAAACTCGACATATATAGGCTAAAACGTGTCAGCCAATCGTTCATGTATCAAAAATCAGATTTACATTCGAACTTGCTCTGAAAAAACCCCGACTATTATTAATAATGTGGCGGCCAATTCAAATCGAGGAATTACTCGAAAAATTGTTAACTTGGAACAATACTCATACTTACCCCGAAACTATTACCCTTGCCAAGAAGGGCCGCCGTTCGGACTAGCTGTTCTTTTGTGTCTTGATCTGTCTCTAATATCGTTACGACCGCTGTGGATGAAATATAAAGTGTGTCATTAAATGTTACATTATGCATACATACATCTGTTGTTATTTCTGATGATATAACAACTCAAAGATTAGGAATAGTTTATAAACAAAAAATCATGACAAACACGAATACTGTAAAATAATAAATTTCCGTGGGACATTAAATCGTTTATATCGCGGTTAACAAAAATCCACGAAATTAAATTTCCACGAAAACATAAATTTTGTATGATATAGAAAGGGAAAAATCACAAATTGGCGAAATATAGTGTCCTTGAAACAGGCTGGAATATGAAAACCACGAAATGTGAACCCCACGAAAATTATTCTACAGTAAATGTCCGATGTTAGTTTCAATAAACCATTGCGTTTCTTACACTAGTCCGGCCTATTGTGTATACTGTATCAGTGAGGAGGACACGCTCATTCAAACTTGTACTTCAAAAATGAAATGCCAATGGACAAATCGAAATGGTTCTTCCTTCAAAACTCTTTTTATTCTCCAAAAACACCGACTCAACTACATGCAAGACAAACACTTATTATTTCTTGGACGCGAAAAAGGGATCACGTTTTGTATAGATATTATAAAGTCTTAGCTGAATAAAATATCATTAAGATATCCCTGCTTAAAAAAACATGCATTCAAAAGCGAGCGACACGTTGTTGGTAATTTATCTGGCTCGCGATGAGGCACTATTGCCACCATAGCGGGCACTTAGATGTGCTGTCATCGGCTGCGGTGATAAAAGTGATTCACAATAGACTTAAGTCTGCGACAAATTTACCAGTACCAAACCAAACCAGGGAGGTTAATTATGTTATGTCAGATAAGGTGAGCGGTAAAAAAAGGGGGGGGGGGTCCCGATTTATCAGACGGTATGACTGAAAGACCCAATTGGAAACACGTGTTAATGTTCTTGCTCTTTTTAATTCATATTTACATGTCCGCTACAAGGTCCTCTATTAATATAACCAGAATGAACTGCGTTCATAGAGATGACTGCAATTTGATAATCGTCATTTTGAAACCCCTCCCGCCTCGAAGGGAAAATATTCATGTTTAAGTCTTTAATCGAAAAAAAAAGCAAATATGAGGACCAAGCTTCATTTTGTTCAATATGCATGCCTGTATGCACGCAAATTGGATACATATACATGTACATGTATATATTCGACTTACGTGATTACCAAACCTTGTGTAACAACAATTTGGTTCGTGGGTTTATCTATTAGGCGTATAACTAAAAAGTCAGTATAATAAAATACTATTGATTTATTGCCTTACTAAGTGATAAATGCATTTACCTGTACCAGACAAGATGAAGTAGAAATTGTCAGCCATGTGACCTTGACGAATGATGACCCGTTTGTCTTCAAAACTAAAAAATAAATGAAAAAAAATGATCATACCGGCATGTTCTCCTGTGTATATACTAATTAAAGATGTCGCAACTATAATCATAGCGGATCGGTCGAGTGGTTAACACTTCGGCATTCTACGCAGGCGGCCGGGGTTCGATCCCCGAACTCGTCCCCGAACTCGTCGTACGCATGGAATGTGTTTTTTCCTGCCCACGCAACCCCAGCAACCCAGGTGGAGTATGAAATGGTCTGGGGTGAATGTTGCGTTATCTGTGTTGTAGCATTCAGGTGAGGTAGCAATATAAATGATATGCCTATCGTTTGAAGCACGGTTCCACTACAAACAGAACACACACACAGGCATACACATATAGGGAGATATTAGCCAGGTGGCATAGGACTAGTAGTTAGCGCCTGATATTGATATATTGATATATAACTCCTGCGATTTCCTTTAAACTGTATTGATTAATGTATATGCTAATTGATTGATTGAATAAATTGTATATCTTTGTACTGTAAAGCTCTTTATAGTGGCTTAGTCTAGCTAGAAAGGGCCCTATATCAAATGTTATGTATTATCATTATTATTAAGTATGACGAGTCTCTGTCCAATGCAACTTTCATACACCCTTAAGAGGTGGTGGTATTTATTGGTTTGGTGATTTGGTGCAATACATTGGGAATCGCAAGCCTATGTAAAACGCGAGGCAAAACATGTCTTTCTGGGTAAGCGTTGTTTCGATGATAGATATCGGAAAATAACACACACACGTGTTATGTGTTTAACTAACCGTCTTGAGCTGATCTGCAAAATATATTTTTTCCTTATAAAGTTGTCCTTTATTCAAATTCAGTAAAGACAACACGTGACATCTGGAGCATCATAGTATTACTCGACAGACATTCCATTAAGGAAAATCCGTTTACTTATGTTAATTTATAGATAATACATACACATGTATATGTCAAATGTGAATGAACCATACTTTTATTATTTGCACATTAAGAGTACAATGTATGATTTTACATTATAGCAGTGTAACGTGACTAGATGGTTTACTTTATTGACATAATTGACATATTACACTGTAATTCGTGGAAAAAAACATGGCATATTAGTAGCAAATGCATATGATGGGAAAATGTTTCCTTGTGGATGTACTATCCTACATTTCCCTCAGACACGTACCATTCATACCAACCGACTCGGACTAGAGAGCGTTGCATGGTGATGGGAAATTCACCAAAAGCCTCCACGGCATTATTGAGCGCTAGTAGCGCCACCTTTAGATGGTCGTCAGTTCTGTCCCTTGGATCCATCGACAGGATAACCTTAGCCTCGTTGCTTAGGTACACCTGAATAAGTATATATTGAAACTGAACAACATTTACGTTTATTGTGCATAACTTAACAATCTATGGTAACACCCGTATAAGTACATGTACCGCATAGCTCCCTTTTTAAGCGGACATGCGTACTGTAGATTATTTCTGTTTCAATAAAAAAAAATGCATTTGTTCCTTAGCCTTTGTATACTGTGTTGATAATTTAACTACATGTACGAGCGATGGACTGCAGTAAATATAAACATGTATGTCAAAATTTCAAGACAAATGAAAAAAGAATTAAATTTTAGGCGTAATCCTTTTTAACGGCGTGTACATGCAGCTACAATTTTGTACATGTATATAAGTGTCATGAAATTATAAAAGTTTAACTCATAGAGGTTTGCAAACGAAAACTTTCGCTACAACGAAGACTTTGGCAGAATTTGGTACAAGCGTTGTCTGGTGTTCATACATGTATAAATGTGTCTTTTATGTTTATTATATACAAACTAAAATCAATGAGCGAGCCATGGACAGACTTCTGTCCGCTCATTGATAAAGTATATTGACAAATCGACATCAGTCGTATACATATCCACGGCTGTATATGACCGCATAAATTATATACGCCTCGATTATGTTCTACTGAATAGAAAAATGAATCTGAGCATCTCATCACCAAACACTAGGACTCAATCAAATGTAAATCACGTCTAACAAAATACAATTACAATATGCCAAGGGTCAGGCAAATACAGTTTTCTACATGAGTGCTGCCTGGATATTTTACAGGCGCATAGAATCCATGCATGTTGAGATGAAGTTGTTCAAAATCTAACGGCAAAAAGGCTAACAGTGTGTCACGTTTTAGCATAATAATTTGTTTTCGTGATTCCTAATATTTTTTCGATGTCGCACTTGATGTTTTAAAAATTACAATTCTGAAATATCTTAAAAACGTTTTTTGATATGTTATTCTACAGCTTAACGCATGTTATTAAGCCCACGAATATGTACAATGCATATGACATCATAGACGTTATTCGGTGTGGGACTGGCCATTCTTCGATTAATGTTGGTATCACTTTCGGTTGGCAGGGAGGGGTACAGTGTAATTTGGTATTACAAGCTAACAAATAGGTAGCCGGTTTCCTGAAGTACAGAAAAATGGACAGATATGACTCATTGATAAAAAAAAACCCCACTGAATTAATGCCTGGATTGCTTTGAAATACTTTAATATTGAAAGGACACACTGTTCTGTCAATAATAAGCGTACAATATTCATCAGTTTAATATTAAACATCAGAATATGCGGAAATTGTGATACTGTCTCCCTACATTGGATTTTCAACTAGGGATGTACTTCCTACTTCCGTTTAGCAATACACTCCTATAACCTTAATACACAACTAAAATCTACCTCTTTTTTCGCCCTGTAGTCACTAGGATCAAAACTGAGGCCGAACAACTCGTACGTTCTCTTGGAAGACGAGAAGTCATCGTGAGCCCACGACAGGTACTTGGCGTCCGTTCGATGGGTCTGTCTATTAGTGAGGGTTGCTCGTAATAACACCTGGACAGTCTTGACCACTCGTCGGAACCTGACCAGGGGCTGCAACGACAAAAAAATAATGTTTTCTTAATCATTGATATACTAAAACGTATGTAGCTGTGGAAACACAATACATTTCAAATATCCATCTGTGTAACAAATAAACAAAAACAGCATCCAGCGTAGTTTACTACGTACCTAAAACTATTGTACAGTTTGTATTTGTTTATCATGGTGTTGAATCGTTCAAACAAATATATACCACTCATATACAACATTCAATTTAAGTAACCACGTGAGCCTGTTCGATATCAACAACAAAAACCACATATCTGGAAATCACCGTATTTATTGGTTTGTTTTGTAAGCCATGATAGATATCAACTGAAAGAATAGCCACGCACGAAAGAAAAATTAAATGGACAATGAAAGCAATAGAGTTCCTTTGTGTCGGTATTCTAAATGTCTGTTTAAATGTTAAGTGAAATTGATTTAAAGTACAAAGGATGAGGATTAACGGCCTAGAATCGTGTCAGTTCCCAATTTATAAATCGATGTCTCCGTTTCATAAACATTCCTTCACGAATAAATATTTACTTTTAATTTGAACCGATTGCTCTTAATTAAAACAGAAACATATATTCCAGCGACAGTTTTAGAACTCAGTACAAGTGATCAATGTGAGTTATATAATATTCCACGTGATATGGACCAGATTGGATATTAATCTGGTTTATGAAAGCCGAATCCTACCCTTACATGTATGTAGCCCGATATGATTCTCCCTGTCAGATTTCCTGGGTCTAGAAACCATGTTGTTTATAACAGTTGAAATAAAAACTTACGTAAGAAACTAATAATAATATATACGAATTAGCATAAATAAATTTGAAGACTTTGATAGGCGTAACTTTGACGTACATATATATATATATATATATATATATATCAAACCATTCCGTCAGAAATAAATGTGACACAATAGACAACGTTTTCATGACGGTATTAAGCAAATATTGACTATTCCGTCTTTTCGTATTACAGAGTTGTCTGCTCTTGCGAGCAGGTATTGATTTTTACGTCATTAGTTTTTGTGAGAAAATTACGTCGTTTTCTCAAAGAGTTATGACGTTCCTCTCACAAACAAATGACGTAACAATCAATACCTGCTCACAAGAGCAGATACACTGTAACTCTGCAATACGAAAAGACGGAATAGATAAGTCATGATAGGCACAAGTGTTACCATGGAAAGGGTTACGACTGACACAGAGTTAAAACAAGTACATTTCCAATAATGAAAAGGTTTTTGACAGCCATTCTGGTAAAGACAGTCGTATTGTCTATCTGTGTTGCGCAGCATAGACTGTTTACAGGATCATATCGAACCAGCGAAACGGTATACGTGTTACGTAACTGAAGATACAATGTAGGTTCAATAATTCAGTTAAAGAGTAATTCAATTCATTTTAATAATTAAATGAAAGTGAAAACATCTGTACATATCAGAATTTTTTTGCTGAATTTCAGACATATGTCAACATATTGAAGCCATCTTGATTTTTTTTTTTATTATTTTATTTGAAGATTGGTGCGTATATTTGAGCATATGTTACTTTGACGTTTCGTATACACAGCCGTATAACTTACAACTTTAAGGATATGATGACTTTATAACTATACCAAATTACAATGTGTCTTTCTAATACATTTAATTTATTGTCGGTTGATATTTATTTTTTTAATAAATTACAAAATGTGTATTTAATCTAAAACAGACAATGTTGGAGCGGAGGGGGCAGAATGGGCAGGGGTTGTGCTAACCCCTTTTCGTGTAATCCACCTTTTTTGAAATTCTCAATTACACTTATATTTATAGTAAGTAAATGCGATTAGAGGGCAAAAATGAAAAAAATACATACAAAATGCATCTAACGTATACTTGTTTACAAAATTTATATATCAGGCGAGGGTGTTGAGCGGGGGGTTATTTTATTTTTATTTTTTAGATGCTTCATGGTATCATTTGTCTTATTATGACCGAACAGATTTTAATTGTCGATCGATAACACCTACATGTCACGAGAGTTAGCTTTGACATAATATAAACAAGCACACAAATACACCGTAACAACGAATGAAAAGAGATAATCACAAATTACGATAGAAACACCACATTATGTTACATATATGTAAATATTTGATATAATAAACGATATCTGAATTTTAGGGTCATATATTACTGATGTTTTTTTTTTTGTTAACTTTCAAACCTTGACAGTCCTTTGTCGTGGTGGACGTTGCCTGCTGAGATAGACCCTAGTGCGGTCCCGATACCTCGGGGTAGATTTCCGTAAGTCGGTGAGATAATACGGTGATGTTAATCCGATAGATAATGTTAGCTTGTCTGTTCTTGTTTTCTTCCCTTTGTTTTTCTTGTCCTGAAATCCATAATTGTATTTAACACTGGGAAGAACTGGATGGCCAGTCCGAAAGGAACTCATGCTGTTCCTAGTATACCCGGTTGGGTAGAGGTACGCGAACATGCGGTTCGCTGTCAAACTGTGGACTGGCTGGGCGAGGTTCGGGTAATAGCTCTTTCGAACATCTTTGATGACAATCGAAGGCAATAAATACTCATTGCCAAATCCGTCTTGTTCAGACATTCTGTTGGTTTCGTTTGTATTAGATAACCTGTCTGACCTCTTACCGAGTGCCGTAATACAGGTGTATTCTGTGTTTATTTGTTCCTATCAGATAATCATATATAATCTTCCGCCAGATATATTTGTTCACACTACGATTAAAACAATTTCCCTCGCGAATAATACATCTTATTGAATCGCGTGTTTAAAAACCGTTTATCCCTTAATTTGGTCGTGAAAGGTGTAATAAGTATTAACGATATCTATACATCACAAACTCGCATGCTAAATGTCGTTTATCCGTGTTTACTTAACAGATTTTTAGCAGGAATTATCGGTATTTAAATTGTTTACATGACTTTGTCAAACAAAGACGGGTATAGGTCTTTTAAAGGTATATAGTTCACATGTGAAAGTTTGACACCGAATCTAGAGGTCCAAGTTACGTATGTGTATCCAAACACATACAAGAATTTTACGGCAATCAAGTATGGCTAAATATTGCCACAAAATCTTATTTTTGGCTTCAAAGAAGCTCGTAATTGAATTATTAGGTCATTTTTGTAACATGTCCGTATTCGGTCCATCCACAACTACCACGAGAACCGCTGTGAACAAATCAAAATATTTCCTCGATTTACATTGAACATGTATTTTCTGGGGTTTTTGTTCAGGTTTTCCGTGCTGCAGTTGCTCAATGAATGTTGTTATTGTTTACGAAGTCTCCAAAGAATATAGGAATACTATGCACATAAAAGCAGCTTTCTTTTGGTTGAACGTCAAATTTTAAAATTGCACTCTTTCTTCATCCCAGAATGAATGATGCCTGTTTGATGCATTACGCGTGAGTGTCCATATACGACAACCACTGTAGCCGCAAAGTTCTAAAGTCACTTTGCCGTATCGTCAATTTATCGCACAGCGTTCTGTGGTATGTTCGTAAAATATTACGTACATGTCAAAGCGACCTGTTGAATACATAAGTATACGTACACAGTTTTCTTACATGCGCGCACGTTCTTTAGAATATGATCACGGTTACACATTGACTGTTTATATACATCCAGATGCATTTTCCATTTTTGTTCGTAGGTGGCGGTTTATGGTTTTTTTAAACGTGACCTATAGCTCGGTTATAATCACTTTCCAGAACACTGTCAGTATTCCCGTTATGTAATAATCCCCGCTGATATTACCCATGTATCATTATCGTAAACTTTCCGGTATGTAACTTTGGCAGGACCTGAGGTACACCCACATCAGTGAAACTACAAATCCGACGGATATAAATGTAGCTACATGCTGAGCTGATCCTTGGGGAATGGTCATCGGTATTATCTCCTGTAGTGTCAGGTCGGGCGTCACTGGCTCCTCGGGGTTTAAGCCGTTTATATACGCATCTGATCTGCTCTGAAAAGAATTAATTTTCCAAGTTGGTCGACACACACAAATGAAAACCGAGAGCACGAAGATACAGCAATGCATTGTAAGATGAGATTAAAGCGACAATACATTATCCAAACGTATTTAATTTGGCATATTGATGTGAGAATCGCTCCGATTCCTCCTACACGGGTCAGCAAAGAAAGCGATTTTCGGCAGGTAAAACACCCATGAAATGTATCCCCGTGTCTACGCAATATGAATATACGTATTAACGTTATATACGATTTTTAAAAACTTTTATTGATCACGTCAGTGTGATAATTGGATAGCATACCCCGATAGGTAACAGAATAAATTGATATTCAATAGCATATTGGACGAGCGTTTAGCCCTCCTAAGCGTGCATTTTTTGTTATCTTTGAACATCAGATTAGGTGTCGCTGACATACATTACAGAGCCCGGTGCGTTTTACTGGTCGAAGTTCGGCACACCGGGATAGGGCTCTTTTTGTATTGATATATCTGTTATGTCCCACTTTGACTTATAACGATCAGTAACCGAACACTCCATGCACAGCCGCTTTGAATGGCCACAAAACCCTCTACAGGCGGTAAATTATATATTTTATTTAGCTGAAACAAGGCGCACAGAATATTCAACATGTGCTTTATTTTGTAGATCTGTTAAATAACACTCCAAACTCGAACATTTTTTAACTGCTACCGAATACTCTACAGGCGTATATTTTGTAAATCTGCTAATGAACACTCTTCATTTTAGATTTTTGCCACAGAAAACCCTGCAAGCTCCTTTTTATGTATAGATTTGATAAAGAACAAAACCCCAGGCGTTATATATTGTTGATCTTCTTTCTGACACTTTTTTTTTTACTTTTATATTAAAAAAAGAAACACTCGGCAAATTTTGTAAATTTGCCACAATGACATCTCAACTGTATTTAAGAACTCCCTTAACGCTTTATATTTGTGTAGGTTTTTCACAGAACAAGATACACGTAGTGTATTTTGTCATCATCATCTATCTTTATTTCATCCGAGAGGAGATATTAATGTTATAATGATATTAAAATAGAAAAGCACAAGAAACGGCGACGAGATTTTCTTCGAACGGTTATGTCTTCAGAATTTACGTAGTGCGTACGACAAAATTGCCTGCATTCACGAGGAACATTTTCTAGTATCATTGTCCTGGAATTGAAGATCCGTCATTGTACCTAATAAAGTATAGAAACAGGAAGCATCGTCCTGCTCCTCAACAAATCCAATCCGAAATAAATAATAACTCACGTAGAAAATGAGTCCGGAGTTCACGTTTGTTCTCGCAAGTGCATAAAAAGTAAGGTATGACGTCACAGAACGGCCGAGAACATATAGAACACACACTCTGGTAAGATGCCGATTGCCTTGCAAAGACATGAAACAGAGTGTAGGCTGTTAATTCGTCAGTGGTGGATATAGCAGGGGAACAGAGGGATTTGGTTTCAGAGGTAAAATGTAAGCTAAATCTCTTGGAGACATAAACGTTGAAAGATAATAATAACAATAAATCGAGGTTCTTATATACCGCTTTATCACAACATAGTTCGTTAGTCGTCTCAAAGCGGTCCAAAAAGTATTATCCATGGTTATTTGGCCTTTTCAACCGGCCATTATCCCTCTAAACTCCCTGGGAATGTCATTTTGACGCTTACAGCTAGCATTCAACAATTATAGCACTGCCCAACCACATACTCATGAACAGCTGAGTAGACTGGAACAAGCGGAGTAAAGTATCTTGCTCAAGGATACAACACGGTGCCGTGGAGTGACTCAAATCCGTAACCCATCGGTCACAAGCCCGGTGTCCTAGACTACCGTGCCTAATAATGTGGTTAATTAGTTTAATATAAACGGTAACTGGATATGTTAGTCAATATAATCTATCGATTTTGTTGAGACAACCCGCCCTTCAATATACAAATGATAATACAGATTCAAACATTTATTCTATTGTCCTGACTAGATGTTGTTATTTAATTATGTATCCCAGTAGGAAATCTAACTATGATCCTATCATGTACAGAAGAAAATGGCAATACAGAGCACTATAGATAAATACAGAACAGAATACTACACCAAACCCAATAAATATGTTACTATATCTGACCACAAGACAAATAACTCAAGATAATTACAGAACATAACTTTTTTACTAGTTCCAGAACCAATTTATGTAGCATATTATGAAACGGATCACTATAGCTACTCGTACAATGTTTATGTAACCCTAGAGAGTAGAGAGTAAACTCGTACAATGTGTATGTAACTACAGAACAGATCACCATTACTACTCATACAATGTTTAAGTAACTCTAGAACAGATCACTATAACTACACGTACAATGTACATGTAACTATAGAACAGATCACTATAACTACACGTACAATGTACATGTAACTATAGAACAGATCACTATA